TTTTTTTTTTTTTTTTTTTTTTTCGTTTTTTGCTTCAAAAATAAGCTTTCATAGTTACAACAATATATGCATATTAAGCTAGTATTATATGTAAATAAGGCTGTTGTGTACGCATGTATCTAATATATATGTATCGCACAAGCCCAACGTTTGTTGCTTCCATTGTACTATGTATCGGGCATTTCGCGACGTACGTCTCTAGTGGTTTTTTTTTTTTTTTTCTTTCTTCCCGCATAATAAACCTTGATAATTACAAGAGTATATATACGCCAATACTGCATACCATCGTACTCATATCCTTTTCGTATGAACACCCAAAAATGTAATATGATGTCGCACAAGACCAAACATTGTTGCCGACAATGTACAATGTATCCGGCATTTAGGGATATAAATCCCTAGTAAGTTTTTTTTTGCTTTTTTTCTTTCTTTTTCGTTGTCGGGTAGTACAAATAGTAACGTTGTTTAGCCTTCCTATTGGGAACAGTGGAATGGCGAATGGCAACGGTTATTGGTCCATTTTCCACTCGGTTATATTTGTGCGTTGTGCATGCGTTGTGTGCCATCGTATGTGATGTGAGTGCGCTTACTTTCCAAAGGGAATAACCAAGAAGGGCGACAATGACGGAAGTGAGAAAAAACAGCACGGGAGTAGTGGCGGTAAGGACGGCGTTCGTTAGGTCGGGGACATCAAGACTGGGATCAGTGATTCTGATGTCCTTAGAGTCCATCTTGTGGTCTGTATATGGTGGTATGCCTCCGATGAATCCTCCCCCTGGGTTACCGAAGACTGATGGATCGTCCAATGATACTTCAGGATCACATTTTTTATTAGCATCAACGACACATTTATTTCCTGGGAGTTGTGCCGCATGAAGCCACGAGTCTGTAATTTTACCTAGACCGAAAGGATCCTCTGCGACAACTGTTACTACAGTGTTTGCAGGTGCACCGGCTGGACCCGCTGCAGCGGGTGCACCATCTTTCTGTGCAGGGGGAGTTTCCTGCGAAGAACTGGATTGCCCAGTAGTGGGAACCTGCGCTTCATTAGGATTGTTCGGATCCTGTGGATCTTCTGTTGCTGTTATTGTTCCACCTGCAGCTGTCGGTGTTGATGTTGCTGTGTCCCTAGATGCCGACACAGGTGATGGCTGCTGCCCTGGTTGTGTGCCTGATGGTGGTCCTCCTCCGGGGTCCGTCGGTGGGTCTGGCACAGGTGTTGATGATGATGCTGATGATCCCTGTGCTGGCGTGGTTGGTGTTGCTGCTGGTGTCGATTCTCCAGTTGCTGGCCGTGCTGATGCTCCTGCTGGAGTTCCTGAGGGTTCCTGGGAACCCTGCTCACCTGATGATTTCGCTGGGGGTACACTGCCATCTTTCTCAGTTCCTACATACAAGATTAAGGAAACATGAAAATTATGAAACTAAAGTTTTGTGCGGTGGTTGCCCATGCTTATGCTCGATCGGTGATGGTTGATTGGCCACGCGGTTGGGTCTCCACACGGTTCGTTGCTCATGGTCCGGCGCTGAAGCCTGGCGGGACCACACGGGTTACCGCCATCGTGGACGAGACGGCCGGTGCCCGGGGTTGGCACCATGGGTGCCACGGTGCGAACGCTGGTTACGGTGCAGGTGCCACTCCGGGAAAAGACTCTCTCTCTCCAACTACACAACACACAGACAGTGTCTGTCTCTGTCGACGTCTGTCGACGTCTACATCCCGCGGCGGCTTACTCGCTCGCCTGGGGTGCCCCGGCGCGCATGGCCCCGCCATTCTCATTCGACGTTTGGGGTCTCTAGCTCTCTGCGAGATGTTGGAGATGTTGTGTTTGTTTTTTCTCGCTCTTTTTTGTTCTTTTCCTGTTGGATGTTCACTCATGACACTACCTGGTCCCGAGTCCTTGGACTTGTGCTCACAGTCATCATCAGCTCCGGCACCCGATGCAAATGAGACAGCGGTGCTGGATGAGGCACCTGGGATGCCCTGGCCTGCATTCTGCGCCACATGAACTGCGGTGCTACGTGTACACTTACCTGTATTGTCAGTGTCCGCCCCTGCTGATCCTGGTGCCGAGGTCGCCGGATCTTGTGATGTTGATGATGGTGGTCCTCCCCGTGCTGATCCTGCAGGTGCCCCGTCCTCTGCCGCTGTTTTATCTGCCCTGCCTACCTCTGTGTTCCGGCCTGGTTGCGACGAAGTGCCCCCTGTACTGCCTTGGCCTGTGCGCCCGGGTGATGGTGACGGTGACGACGGCTTCTCCCCGTTCTGGTGTCCTCCTCCTGCATCTGCCGGTGTCGTTCCTGCAATGCGAGATGGAAGAAAGGAAGATGAAAAGATGATACACAAAAGCACACAATTGGTACAGAAAGAAGGGGGCCGGGACGGTGCGGTCAGGTGGCGGCAGCACGCGTACGGTGAGGATCGCCGCCGCTATTGGTTCCGTCGTGGCCGCTGCCGCTTCACGGTACGTTCGTCGCGCCCGTCGTGTACGCCACTGTGCTCGGCTCAACGAACGGGGTGATGTTCCCCCGCGTGCGTTGTTGTAGCCGTGTGGGTGTTGTTGTGTGCTGCTGTTCAACTGTTTGTGCATGCGCTGTTCGCCCCTGCACGGCACGCTCGACGCTACCGTCGTGGCCGCCGCTGCACGCGGCAATCGTACGTTGAGCGAAGTGGTGCACCGCAGCGCGCAACGTCCACGAAGTCGTTTGCTGTGCTGTTGTTCCCCCGCGTGCGCGTGTTGTTGTGGCGGCATCCATACGGGCCGTATTGGGCCGCATTGGTGCTTTCTCCCCATCGGTCCTTACCTGCCGATTCCTTTGGTGGTGTGGTCGCTGCTGCTTTGGCGGCGGCTGCTTGTTCAGCGGCAGTCTTCGCTATCACTGCGTCTAATTTTCCGTGCACTTTGTCGATTGCTTGTTCCATTTCTTTCTCTATCGCGGCATCGTGTTTGTCGTCTGCCTGTTCCCCAGAAGGGTACGTGGGAGCCTTCGCATGTGAGGCCCTCAATTTTTCCTCCTCCTGCCTCATTTGTTTCTCCAGTGCGTTCAAAATTCCTGTAACCTTCTTCTTTACTTCATCTTTCGTTTGGTTGTCTTTGTCCTTTTGCTGTTCCTGCTCTCTCGGTCCGACCTCTAGCTTTACCTGTGCTCCCTTACAGTCATCGCCTATTTGTTCCTGTGCAAGTTGCTCCTGCACCTGGTGGTTCTCTTGTAACCATGTCTTCATCTGATTCCTCATGGGCCAAGTGTTCAATTCTATAGTCTTGTACTTCCCCTTCTTACAATCCTGCTCGCCCCAATTTCTCTTGATTGATGCCGATATCTCTCCCACGACGTACCATGCATAATATGTACCCCACCAACCCTCGCATGCATATGTCCTGAGTATATCTTGGTATATATCCGCTATGGTGCATCTCATTATTCCCTTTATCTCCTTATCCCTCCCTCCGGTCTCCTCTGCGTTTTTCCGTGCTGCTTCGCTCCACGCGTTCGCAAAGTATATCGCTTGCGTCATGAGTCTGCATATAACTCTTTCTTTGCTCCGATTCATCGCCCTTGGTCGTTGGTCTGGCTGGCCATGTTCTGTTGGATGCTCCCAGTATGCATTACCGCAGTTAGTAGCATTGTCGTACTGACTGTCATCGTTCATGTGATCAATAAAAAACCGCAGTTGTTTTTGCATATCCTTCCATAACTTACTCTGCGTTTAACACAATGCACATATATCTATTTGGTCGCACACTATTATTCACGAACCGTGGCAATGATCTAATTATAATTGGCCCTTGCTGCCTGTTACATGTAAATTTGCCGTATGCGGTATATATGAAGCACGCACATGTCCGCCATGCTGGTGCCGTGTAGTATGTTTCTCTCATACACACATATGTTCTGCCTTGTGCACACCTCCGCACGGGGCCTGTATGTATAGGAAATTACCTCATACGGTCCCTGTATGTTCCTTTCCTTTACGTATTGTGCCAATATTTTCGCTAATGCCTCATCCGACATTCTGCTCCGTCTTCGATTAGCTCAAATATGACACACCTGAGTATTGTGCCAATGTCCCACGTGAACTATATTAACCGTCACATGGCCCCTGTAGCCCTTGTTATTTTCTACCTTTACTATTGATGAGTAATTTGTGGCCTTAACACATAACATTAGAACATTATACATAACAAAATCCTTATGTACCTGTGTGCAATCCCAGTCTTGCACTATTATTAAATGCCGCAGAAACCATATATTGAGAATGACAGAGGAATAAATATAGAGGAGCACAACAAAAAGAAAAAAAGAACAAGAAAAAGAAAAAGAAAAAAAAGAACAAACACTACACTACCGTACACACGCAACGCGTCATGAATAACGCCCGCTCCCGCCCTTTCTACACCCGGTCTCCACTAAACGCCTTCACACACACTGTCTCTGTGTGCGTACACCTAAAACCGCAGTATAACAACAACATCAAGTTCTTCTTCCGTCGTACACTCGTTTGCTTCGTCGAATCGGTCTTGCACTTGGCCGCTGTGGTCGACGAGTTTGCTCGGAGAGACAATCCTCCTCCTTTCGTACACTCAGCTACGTCGTCGAATCGTGGTTACCATCGGCCGCGTTGGTCGTCGCGTTTGCTCGGAGAGATAATCTCCTCCGTTCTTACACTCGGCCACTTCGTCTAATCGGTCTTACACTCGGCCGCGTTGGTCGACAAGCCCGTGTTCCCGGCCACGTTTGCTCGGAGAGACAATGTCTGCCTCCGTTCTTACACTCGGGCAATCATTCGTCGAATCGTTCTTTCTCGGGACATTGCGTGTACGAGGACGCGGTGACGACGACGGCGGAGAAGCCGTAGAGGCGCGTTGCAGAAGAAGAACAAGCGTGCCAGAGAAGGAAGCGCAGAATGCGCAAGAGCACAGGGAGAAACGGAAGAACAAGAAAAGCAGGTGGCAGTAGTAGGTATAATGTTCAAGCGGTAACGCAAACAACAGGGCAAGAACAGCATGCAGGAGTAGCGTTGATGTGCGATGTTGCATGCATAAAAAAACAAAGCAAAAGAACCCTCTAAATACTAAAACTCACAAATTATGAAACTGTGAACACGTTCACGCTTTAATCTGAATATTGGAAACGTAGATTGTTGAGGATTAAACTATAAAACCGTGAACTGTAAGACCATAAATCATAGAACCCTCCATCCAATCACCTAAACCATAGATCCTAGTGCGCCATTTTAGATACTACACCCTAGAGCCTACATGGTAGACGCGCAGATTCTAGACCATAAACCCAGAACCCTAATCCAAGATCCTATATCGTAGCCCGTAGACCCTAGAACGTACATCGCTAATCCCAGATCCTACATCGTAGCCCGTAGACCCTAGAAGGTACATCCTAGAACGCACATCATGAATCCCAGATCATATCACCTAAACCCTGAAACTTAAACCCTAAACCTGAACCCTAAACACGAAGCTTTAAACCGTAAACCTGTGAGATCCTCCCCCTGTTTATGCATATCAAAAGATAAGTTGTAAAACCGTTTGATTTGGCAATGTGGAAGTTCATACGAACAAGACACGAAGCATCAATACAGAACAAAACAGGAAAAAGGCAAAAACAAAAATTCACATGGAGATACTCATAGGATGAACACCTAGTACATAATTACAGCATACTCAGGAACAATAAAATAATAATTAATAATTGAACAATGCATAACATTTAACAACGCAAATAAGGGCACCTTGGTTTCATGGAAGGAGCAGACTCCTCCATACTTTTGCCCGGGGGGTCTGTTGCATGTTGAGGTGCTTTTGAAGCGTAAACATTTGGTGGAACATTGCTACTCTGGGCAAATAGGCAAACACAAAGGGACAGTAAGAATCAAGGCAGAATCATGTGAAATGAAATAAGGATGGTGCGAAAATAGACAATGGACATGGCTGTAATGGATCAGAGAAGACGAAAGAGAAAATTCAAACGAACGGTGCTTTAGCATAATAATTATTAATCACTTACACACAAATAAAAGAATTAACAGCATAAAGAAAATGCACATTTAGTCCCGTGGTGCCCCCGGAAGAGATATTTATATAGCTCGACAGGAGGAAATATTTTTAACTGTAGACAACGGAAAAGTGCATAGTTTGAGTACGAAAAAAACGCCAGCGGAAATGTATGCTTATCTGTGGGTATGTTTTCTTTTACACCTATATGAGGGGTTTTTGACCCACATTTTTTTTTTTTTTTTTTGGGAACATCGTATGTGATTCTCTGAATTTGTGTGATCGCCGGCAATATTCTTAATGGCTTTTAATGATCTTATATAACCTGTTCATAATGCCTCCATCGATATGTTTACTTGAGCGTTTTACTTTGAATAATTTGCTTACGCTGTAAAATAAAAGGAAACCATATCCACCACAAAGCAGAGCAATGGCAATAAAAGGCAGTATATAGGTCTTGACGACAAAAGGCAGAGCGATAATTAATGCATAGGGCCAAGGTAATAATATAAGCATGGCGTGCATTATGGAGGAGCTCATTTTTATAAGGGATATTAGCAGTAAAGGAGAAAGTATTCCGAATACAACAAGCGGAGCAAACGCTCTATACTTCCTCAGTACATTAAAAAATTCTCTCGTCCCATTTACTTCTCTGACTGAGCAATTGTACTTTTCATACGCCTGCATGTTCAAGTGACGTCTTATTTCTGATCTAAGCGTCGGAAATATTTTTCTAAACATTTTACCCAACATGGTGTTTTTGAACAAACCTCGACTAGGACTGGCAGAAAATTTATTCTGCTGTTGCAATTTATCTATGTAATAGCAAACTGCATCATCTACATCCAATCCTGCTGTAGTAGAAAGTGGTTTATCCTTATTATGATATTCGGATGATTCAGCCATTCTGTTCTTTTCTTCGAGATTATCATCATCTCGTTTTTCGAACAGACTGCCGGTGCTGTCAAAGGTCATGGATTCTGTAATTTCCTGGCTTCTGTTAGAATCATCGTTATTGGCTCCTTCCTGGAATATACTCTCCATGCTGTCAGCATTTGCAGATTTATGCACTTTGTCCTTATTATTAAAAATATCATCGGCTCCTTTCTCGAATATACTATCCATGCTGTCAAAGAGCATGGACGAGCTAAAGCCCTGATCAACGTCGTTACCATGATCACTTCGACCTTCAAGCACACTCTCCATGCTACTGAACCTCATGGATCCTCCAAACTTTACCGTGCCTTCATCCTCATCAAAATTATTCAAGTTTAAAGACTCGTTGGATTTGTCGACGTTAATATGATCCATCGTACTTTTCGACTTCTTCCTTGAACTCGCGCGGGGACTACTCTTTCTAGATCGTGAGTTAGAGCTATCATTATATTTTGTTACATCGGAACGGTCCTGCAGGTAAGTTTCGCCATTTGTATTCACTGATCCCATGAACTTTTCCTCGAGCAGGGTATTATTCTCCGGAGGTAGTGTTTCTACATTAGCTTCACCCATCAATAATCTGCTAATCCTCACAACCAAGGTATTATTCTGGCCAGTTGAATGATTCCATGATGTGCCTAGTTCATTTACCTAACATATATAAATGGGGATACATTCAGAATTTGTACATTACGCAATTATTGGGGTAGAGTGAAGTAATGAAAAGTTTTTAATTTTTAACAACA